CCTACACTTTAGTATTGCATGTTACTTATTACTTACTGATGCCTACTTTGACCCTTGTTGCAATAATACTGCAAATTCCCCCATTGTGGCACTAATAAAGGATTCTCTTAAATTACAGAAAGCTATGTTTTAATGTTATTGTGAACCCCTGTCATTGCTCATGATAATAAAACCTGTAAAGAGTATTACATTCATCCAGGAACCTGCAAATGGTTCAAGAGAAATTCAATAAATAAAATGCAAACAGGCCTACAATACCCCATGTTGCTTTTACGTACATGAAACAAAACAGAAATAACTCACAGCAATGACAGTGATGCAACACTGAACCCAAAACCCAAATATGTTAAATAATTTATTAAAAATCGCTTAGATATTATTTGATTATCAGAGTTATTTGCAATACATTTTCATTTGATAAATTAATTGACTAATCGGCTAGTTATCTCACAGATTGTTAAAACAATAATACTACATTAAGGTATCTGTATTCATAAATCCAGTAACAGGCTTATAATTAAGTATTTCTACACTATGTTGCTTGTCTTACGGAAAAACTTCTTCACCTATTTACTGCGTTTATAGATTGCTACAGGTGCAGTTTTGCTGCTTGTGAATATACGTGCATGTTGTAGGAAATAGTGCAAATGTGAGTGAATTGATTTTATTCAAATTATTTCATTATAATTCTGACATTTTTTATTTGTTGTTTTGTGTGTTTTGTCTTTACCACATATAGCTGCAAGAGTCTTTCTAAATCAATTCATTTATGTAAATAAACATATAAACATTGGTATGACAATAAAATCAGTGGTTGGCTGAACATTTAATGATCTAAAACTTGATAATAATAAGTTTATTTGAGCAAAACCTTTCAAAGCAGCTATAACAACGCTAACAAATAGGAAAAACAAAATCAAGAATACAAAACATCGAAGACAACATGCAAAATAATACAATCAAAAATGGAAACAGCGATGAAAACAACATCTAAAATCAAGGACAACAAATTACAATAGAACATATTTTAAAATGAACTCCAAAAGGATAAAAGAAACACAATAATAGCTCAAAACAATCAAGAAATCGGAACATGATAATATCTAAAAACGACCATGTTTAGAGAGATGATTCAAAATCAGACGGTGAAGTTTCAAGTCTCAGGTGAACTACTCCATAAAGGTTTAAGCTCCTGACGTCAAAGGCCGGAGATGTTTTTCAAGGACAAGTTGAGGCAGAGGTGAGTGGCCACGCAGCAGAGATGTAAACCCTGCAGGGAAAAATAATCTGCAGGAAAAGAAAGTGGAGAGCAGAAGGGTGGTTAAAGGCCTAATGGTGGAGGGGAGCTGAGGCACAGAGATGGCCATGAGGACAGAGAGAAAGAGAGAGAGAGAGGGGGAGAGTTTGGAGAGCAGCCGGGGACGGCCCATGGTGGATGATGGGCGGAGCAGTAAGCATGCGCTGAGCTGGCAGACTCTGGGCTGGTCCTGACGGGCTGGCTGGCTGGGCTCCGGACGGCTGTCTGTGCGCCTCAGACGGTCGTGGGGGAGACTACCATCAACGCTCAGCGCCTCCCGGAGCGCTCAGAGGGGGGGAGAAAGACGCCGGAGAGACACGGGGGATAACTGCGAGGAGAAAAATCACAAAGCAAACAGCTCCACCTCGGCATCTGGAGAAAAACGCACCGAGGAAGAAGAAAGAGACGATCCTCCTCCCTTTACCCCCACACCCCGTCGTCAACCCGCCCTATCCACCCTGCTCCGTGTGCCATCCCTGTGGTCTGCGCTGCGGGAGAACCAGGGGCACCCATAGGAATCCCCCCCACTCTGACCAGCGTTGCCATTAAGCGATGCGCATTGAATTTAGGAGGAGATCACCTCTGCGCCTTTGATTCAACCACAGCTCTTGGTTTTTCCACAGTGGGAACAGTTCAGACTCCGGATCTGGGTGTTTACACTTTTTGACGGCTTTCCAGTGGAATGATAACATGCAGCATAGATCACCCCACGGTTACGCACAAGGCTGTCACTCCATAGATTAGTCTTTATTCACCCAACCAGCTGTCACATAAACTGCGTTTGAGCCTTTTTCCCCATGGTTAGAAATAATCCTGACAATGGTCTGGGAACGGACCGCCTCTCCAGACACCTGGTAATATCTTCTCAAGACGTGACACATCGACATTTCGTCTAAAACAGTGAAACATTGACGAGGAGTCACTTGACGCCGACGCCTGTTTGAGCCACGGGACTTTGCGTGCGAAGTTTGCCCCGGGAAGAGGCAGACCAAGTCGGGGATATCTCGGCTGTATCCGCGGCATTTCCCCCCCGCAAGGTAAGAGCCCTCGTCTTGCATGTCAGTCCTGCGTAATGTGCGTGTTGTCATGTGTGTCCACGTCGGTGTGAGTGCGCTACACCAATGTGAGAAATCGCTCGAGTTCAAACTGGGCAGTGACCTATTTTCAGAGACTCTCCGGCGGTTCGCGGATATCCTGCAGCCTGGAGTCCGCGCACTGGTGCCACTCGAGGCCGGTTGTGGCGGACGTGCCTTTACCGGCGTTTGTGCCATTTACGCAGACACATTCTCAGTAACCCCCCAACTGTAAACGGGCACCACCGTCCTCAGCCTGGCAAGGCATTATTTTGTGCTGCAGCACAAACCATCTCCTATTTACACGTACATCACAGCTCAGCCAGCTGTTGTGCAAGATGCAGGCTTGCATTGAGCTCTCTGATGCTCTGTCACAACATCTGATAAAGAGTTCAACGTCTGCTGATTGCTGACGGCCACATCCACCTGGGGTGCATTTGTAAATAAAACGGGGGTAAGCTTTGACTTAGGGTTAACACCCACTGGAAATCATGCCAATCCTCAGATTCATGATACTTCCCCCCCACGAGAATGAGAGAAAGAATAAATATGCAATCACTTCACATTACCAAGAAGGTGCACTGAGTTCTGGAGAGTTAATGCTCATGTTTCTGATCACAGCAACTGGTACTCGAATGTAGCATGAGTTCATGGTGCTTAAAACCCTTTGTCCACAGTGATGGATGAAACCAGTGACATCTTTGCCGTTTTGTCATCTCGGTTTGTACCAATTCTAACTTGGTGGAGGCCACGGCCATGAAGTGCACGGGGCAAGGATGAACACAGGCAGAGAGGCCTAGATAAAGACCTATTTTCCTCCAATTAAGCAATTCCACTGTCCCCAAGCCTAATTGTGTGCACACTGGGACTGGGTCTGGGATGGACCTTCTCCTGATTGGCTGCCTCCCATGGGCTCATTGTTCCAGAGGATGCCACGGGAAAGAGCTGAGCCCTGCCAAGGCAGACCTAACAATCCCTGTGCTGGAGTGGAATAAGGCCTGATCATTAAGCATTAGTCCACAATGCAGATCGAGGCACACTCAGGGGGCTGCAGTTGTATTTTGGAGTAGAATGGCTGTATTTTTCCGAGGTGATTAAGTGTTAGTATAATACTG